AAAAAAAAAAGAGAACACAATTACACAAGTATATGTCTAATAGTCCTAATCCCTAAACTAAATGACCAACCAAGTGACCAACTAATACTCCCCAAGATCAGCATCATCAAACCCCAACACGGGTTCTCCAACCCCAGGTTCTATTTTACATAACTAAGAATCCCAACTAAAAAAAGCCCAACTAAAAAGCCCAAGTAAACACTAAAAAAGGGAGCCCAAAACGCAACATACATGATGCGCTGATGCCTAAGTGATGCACGCATCGTGTGATGCGTAGGTGATGCGTTCGCATCATGGAATCGCATCGCAACAGCCTCTTTGATGCGTTCTGTCCAGCGCATCAGAGCGCATCACGCATCAGAGCGCATAATGCTCGCATTTTTAAACCAAGAGCATCTATATGACAAACAACTACCGAAAGCTCTCAACTCAGTGTAACAAGAAAATAGCACGAGTATGTTTACTAAATTTATAAGGCAAGATAATGTAGACACAATTAGGATGAACCAATGGGCTAGCATGTCACATGTACTTCTTTCATCCACCCTTTTATGCAATAAAGGAAGATGAATTCTTCAAGCCAATCCAAACCATGATGCTAACAATATATATGGATGGTCTGAGAACCCATGAGCTTCTAAAAGGCTCAAGTACATTAGAAAAAGAGAGAGTGACCTAATGATTCAAGTTTTTATTGATTTTACTAACAGAGAAATACTATTTGGAGAAGTAGTTATATATAGGAGATTTCAGAGATTCAAGTCAGAGTATATATTTTACTAGGCTAATGCCTTGAACAGGAATGGAGCCATTAGCTATCTTGACAGGGGAATGCATAGATGGGATATCATGGATGGAATATTTTTTATCTGAATCATATGCTTTAGAAGCACCTGTGTTAATAATCTTGGAATTAGCAGAAATTTACATACAAGTAATAGAATCAACTGTGTGCTACACTGGCACATGGAATGGATGGTCTTGTTGTCGGAAGAACAGTAAACATGGATTATGATGAGATCCTCATCCTCTGCACTTAGCTGGCCACGAGAAGATGAACACCACATCAAATGTGATTTAGTGTGACTGGAGATAACAAAATAACAAGCAACATGGGACATCTCCTGATCCTCCCAAGATCCACAGGAACTTCTACCATGTCCACAGCCATAATCGCTTCCACGAAGACTCCTCCTCTTGGAGCCTGAGTGTTTACCTATTTTATAGTTGCAAACACCAATGACTACTCAAGGTAGTGCACTTCTCTCACAAAAAGGTGCACATGTAGAAGATAGCAGCAGTTTCAGACTGAGTCACTTAAGATCACAGTCTAAAGCTGCCTTAGAACATGTAGATCATAAATGTAACGCTCTTTAAGCTCATGAGTTGCTTGAAGCATTTGTAGTTTTCAAACAAAGGTCAATCACTGTGGTGGTGTGGAACATGAGAGTATGCCTGGTATACATATGTGTGTGTGTGCATGCATGTGTGACATACGGGTATATTAGGTTACGACCAAAGGGTTCGACCAAGATATGGTGACACTCCGTCAGAAAAACATAAGACATGGCCAATCGAACTGGCTATGATGATAAAAGTATGGATGATAGCCAAAGTAAAAAAGTAAAAAGGATGCTCAGTAAGGAGGTGAAACCTGCAAGTCACAGTTAAAAGTACTCAACAGTCAACACAAAAGCCAATCAAACTTGATAGAATCAAATGCAGGAAATGATCAACATAATCAGTGATGTGACAAACAGAATCAATGACATAGTGATTGTGATAGAATCATGAGCAGAAACTGATAAACAGGGATCGGCACTTCGCATAGGTTTAGTTTGTCAGTGATGTTCTGATACACAAAGACATGCGAAAGCTGCAGAACAAAATACCAGTTACCAACAACATTCACTTGTTATTGCGACCAAATACCAGTGAATGTAGGTAATGGCGGCATTAATACGACCAATGACAGTGGATGATAGGCAGTACCCAGTAATTTGCTGCAATTAGCTGCTGCTGATAGCAGAGTGTGCAATTGGCATCCTTGTTCCTCCGTTGTGGGATTTGATGCCGTGTAACATGAAAGGACTGTAAAGTAATACATTGTTATCAGAGAAAGAGACTATATCTATAGTATATAGGAGCAGACATGTGAAATAAGCCCTAAGACGCAATTGTTAATACTGATGATAATCTTTAAGATGGAATAGACCAACCGACTCTCAAAGGGATGTGTACTCTTCTACTTTTTTGCTATTTAGTTCTTTTGGAACAGGAGTAGTAAAATGGTATGAGCAAGTGCAAATGAACTTTGACAATTTGCACAGGAGCAAGAACTTATTATGACAACATTATCTTAAATTATGTTGATTGATCTTAGTGAAAACATTCACTAATGAAGTAAAACTTTTTCCTGCAAGTTCAAGGTAATAGAGAACTTCTGATGTAACATTTTGTGATCTACCACCTTTAAAACTAAAAGAAAACGTGATTTTTTTTGGTGAATAGGCACAGCAGTTATTTCAAAGGGATGCACAGACAATTACACCTGAAGCTCTAGAAAGTGTGAAGGCTGCGCTTGCAAGCAGTGAAGTAGAGCATAAAGCAGAGGTAAAAAAGAAAGCAATACCTCGTAAAGCAGCTGGTCTAGCTTGGGAGGATCCAACACTGGCAGAGTGGCCAGAAAGTATGGTTCAGTTACTAGCACTTATTTTATTTATCCGTCCACAAGATTTGTCCATATTTTCTTAGTTATCTATTTGTGTGATCATGTATATTGTCTTTATCAGAACACAGAAACACTAATCTATATCCCTTGAACGTTTGGGTACTAATTCCGCTTCTGTCATTGATCTTTCTCTTTTGTGAGGAGTATGTCGGATAGGCTCCCAGCCCCTTACCAAGTCTGACAAAATCTATCATGGGAAGTGTTCTTAAAGATATAGCTAGCTATATTAAGCAAACTCATCATCGATGAAATAAATCCACTTTGTGGGAGCGTATCACTTATGGCAAAAAAGGAGATACGTGTAGAAGTAGACCACAAAACATATTGTCTGTGGATAATATAAACTGCCACTAAAGAGACTAACATGTCATTGAGATATTGAAGGTATATACCAGATGATGAGAGCAATTATTGAAAGGAACGTGGAATGTTTTGTCCCAATGTATCTTACATATTCCATGTATGGATCACGAAATAATCATTCTTTAACTGATTAGGTTTGTCCCCACTGAATTGTCCTGGCGTAAGAAGGTGGGGATCCATATGTGAGGGCTCGGTTTCGAATCCAGACACCATCCACCTCCCTCTGCGACAACTGATTTTTGTTGAAATACACAATTTTTTTATTGATAAATCAAAATGAATATTGATACCTTGTGTGCTAATTGCAATAGAAAAGGAATCGATGCCTTGTATGCCCAACTGCAACACCTCTATCCCCGATGTTTTCTTTAGTTCTTTTTTCTTATTTTGTGTATTATTATAACATATAAATTATGTATATAGTAATAAATTATTTATGTATGTTTCTTCTGTGTATCAATCTCTGCAATCTTCCATCTAGAGTACTGGAAAATTTAACTAACTTAATAGAGAATGCTTCTTGAATATTTAATGTGGCATTTTGCCATAATTATTAATAGATATAACTATTGCAGTTAGACATAATTATCATTCAATTTAACTTTAAACATGAACACTTAGAATTTTATTAACTTTTGGAAACTAAATTTTCTTTATTCACCAATATCAGGAAAAATAAAAGCTTCCAGAGTAAGCATTTAATAAGAAGACGTTTAGATTTACAATAATATCGGTTCAAACCAAGCAATGTAGACCACAAAGTTGTATGCTGTTATATCCTTTTGACAAATAAGATGATTTGTAGAGAAATTTCAAATATTTGAAGCAGACAACTCCAAATTATCTAAAGAGATTGGTTTGTTTCATATTTTAATCTCTATGACATAGTGTATCCGTACATCAAAACTTAGAAGTACAAAGATTATAGGTGATAAACGTAGGTTTGACCTGGATTTCGGAATATATTGTTATGTACGTTACCATAAGGATCAAAAGTTTTGAGTGGTCACTGGTCACACACTTATTTATATTCAGTTTTTAGGAAAATAATTTCTATCGTTTTTTGTGCCATTTCGAAAGGAAGACTTTCAGTTGAAGAATATATCTTGCAGTGAATCATTGTCCATGTTGGATATTGTATAGGAGAATAGAGGAGTCCGTGTAAGTCCTATAAGTAGGAATAATAATGTGAAGGCTCAGAGAAGGAATTAGCGCATGATATTGCTAGTAGTTCAAGGTTGGTTGAAGGGAAGCTAAGAGGATTTTAAGTGGTCGACCTCTTTGTTTGTAGGATCATGTTGTTGTTTCTGAGTTTTCTGCTCTCAGAATCAGAATTATGCATATTTTACTTGTTTTCAGATTATAAACATGTGGAAATGGTCCCGAGTGGCATAAGCTAATTAGATATGCTATCTATTGGCTATCGGTGTGGTTTGGGGAATACAACTAGATCAATGTGTCTATAAAAGAATGGAATACTTATGCTTAAAGTGAGTACCAACATTAAAGGTGAAATTGACAATTGCCTTCCAATTCAGCAACTGAACTGTCCATTGCCTAATCAGCTAAATTGTACTCTCTTTGTCTAATTAGTTGTGTTCTCTCTTCTTCTTTCCCCCTTCATCTCATGCTATTAGTTCTCTTTTCTTGGACCATCTGTTATCCTAGTCTTCTGGTCAGGGGCTTGTTAAACTTTTTCTTTTAACATGCACATATATTGATAAACTTGGAACCACACCAAGTGTTGGTACTTTTTTTTCCTATGCCTATAGAAAGGAGTATAAACATTAAGAGTACCTTATTGGAAATGGAGAAATGGTGGTCATTAGTGGGGAAACAGGAGAAGAGTGTAGAAGAGTATTTAATATGGAACTAGCTAGCTTAAAGTGCATGCAATAGGGAAAAGTTGGTAAGCTGCATTGCCACTTCATAAATGTGAAAGTCCATACATGACAAATAATATAAAATGAGAGGAATAGTGATTAGTTTTAACTAACAAAAAGAAAATGCATAGTTATATGCTTAGAAAAGGGGGAACTAAAGTTAAGCCTTTAATGTGTTGGAACTATCTCATATGCTCTGTTGGAAAATTGGGTGCTGGTGAGTCATCTGATCATCGTAAACATAGATGGATGACCATGTTTTGCTTGGTTGCGAATATAATCTTCGTAGCTTTGAAGGAAATATCAGCGTTGCTAATATTAAATTTTCATGATGATTTTTTTGCCTCATAGCTTGCCGATAGCAATGTCATCTTCTTGATGATTGTAGTGATGTTTTGCAGATGATTATCGGCTATTTTGTGGGGATCTCGGGAATGAGGTTAATGATGATGTTCTTTCAAAAGCTTTCTCACGATTTCCTACATTCAACATGGCTAAGGTCAATTTATTTAACCCAAGCTTCATTACATACTATTCTATGTTTCTCTGGTATACCATTTTGCATGTCTTTGGATGTCTGTTTGATTTCATGTAGCTCTGCTTAAAGGCAGGACTGTCTTTCATATTGGTTTTCACTGGATCTGACGTGTGGTTTTGAATGTGTTCACATGATTTACAGCTGATTCCTTCACCTCGTCTTTGTTCTCCCTTTTCCAGTAAATTATGAATACTGACATGATCAATCACGCTATGTATCTTAGTCACCAGGCTAAAATCTAATTATAATTTATGCCATATGTCTAACAGTCTAAGAGCAGTCTTTAGCTACCACTCTCGCTTTTAGTCGATGGAGACATCTACAGATCCCACTTATCATTTAATGAAGATCAACAAATCCCACCTTTAATGCTTATGAAGCCTAACTAGAGTCGGCAGCAAAATTAATAGTGTCAGGGATTGTATAAGAAAGAGAAGTCACCTCAACCAAGATGATACTCGATTACATGAAAATAAAGACTAGACCCTTTTTAGACTTGATATAAAAGAAGAAACATAACTCTAGAGAGGTGCATGGTTTTAAAAAGCAAATGAGGCGATAAAAAATTTCTGAGGGGCCGCCTCACAAGCCCTGGACAAGGCGTGCGCCTTACTTGACTGAGGCGCTTCCTTTGGCGGTGAGGAGGGCATCTTATCTCACAGACAACTTTTTCTCAAGTCAAAAATTATGGCTGCTATATCTCTCTCTCTCTCTCAAACCTCTCAAATATTTCTCAAGTCAAGTGAATTGTTGAAAACAAAGATAAACAATTGAATTATTGAAAACAAAGATATAGTAATATTTATATCTATCAATACATATTTATATGTATTGATAGATAGATATATTATTATATATTTATATGTATTGAGGACGATATTACTATGTCTTTTCAACAATTCAATTGTGTTGAGGGGTGTTACATACTCGCAATGTATGATGGTTTGACATTGGTGTGGTCAGTGAGTGTTTTATATGGTGGGGCTTTGGCTTTCTTTTGAACCAAGAGCCATCTACAATGAATGGGTCGTTGCAAATGTTATTGACAAAATCAGAATGGTAAAGTGCAAAGGTGCCAGTGGCCGCTGAGTTGAAAATATAAAAACCCGAATCGAGAATATTACACAATTGTTGTGCATCTACAACAATCAGAAATCTCATCAGGATTTTGTCTTCAATCTGAAGTTCTTAAGAGGTGACAATAGTACCAATTTTTTATGTTTTCGTCGACGTGGACATTTCTTAAGAATCATCTCTCTCTCAAGTATTTTGCATTTAATCTTTGCCCTATGAGTTCCAAATTTCATATATGATGTATTTTAGTTTCTCTTCGTGCGTGTTTCCGAGTTATATCATCCATCATTTGGTCTATCTCGATGCATGTTTTGAAGGGATTTGGGTTGTCATATCATCCATCTTACAATCTATCCATCGAGTTCTTTCATCTTTTGGAAGATTTACTCTTTACCCTCCACGACAATCTATCCATCGAGTTCTATCATCTTTTGGAAGATTTACTCTTTACCCTCCACGACAATCTAGCACACTAGGATATTTTTATGCTAGCAATAATGTCGGCCATGTGGATGTTCTTTTCCGCTTATCATAGGGAGTCTATTTTGTTTTTGTTCCATTTGATTTACATAACAAAGCTTATTCCTTGGAAAACTAATTTGCTTGTTTATTTGTTTAACATTTAAATAAGTGGCATTGATTGTCAGGTTGTCCGAGATAAGCGAACAGGCAAGACTAAAGGCTACGGATTTGTTAGTTTTTCCAACCCAACTGATCTTGCTGCTGCTCTTAAAGAAATGAACGGTAACTAGCAACATCTTTACTCGTTAACGTTTAACTAGTTGTCAAATGATTTAGAGTTTGTGCTTGTGTGGATGATTACAGGAAAATATGTGGGTAATCGGCCGATCAAACTACGCAAGAGCAACTGGAAAGAGAGAACGGATGTGGAGGCCTTGGAGAGACAAAAGGTACTTTCTCCTCTTTAGGCTCGAAATCGTTTCAGTAGCTTTTCGTGACTAAACTTTTGTTGATTTGCAGAAACATACACAGAGAAAAACAAAACTGCCCAAAAAGAGTGTGTTGCACAAGTGAAGCGACTGAGGAAAACAAACGAACATATATGCCTTGCTATTCTCTCTTCTCCTAAACCTTTTGTATTGCATCAAGAGTCTTATACATATATTGCTTTTTTTTTTTTTTTGCCTCAAAGTGTAAGGATTAAATTTATAGATTGTTCATGCATTAAGTCTGTTAATGAAAGAATTGCGGAAGGTTTTAGGATTTTAATTTAAAAGTAACTAATTAGTTACCAATCTTTTGCATTTTTTAGCCATTGAAATGTCGCCTATTTTTTAGCAATCATGTCTAGTTACGTTAAAGGTAAGATTAAGGGGTCGTTTACCTTCTCACATTTACTTGACGAGTATTTATCGGGTAAGCTTTTAGTCAATTAAAAAGACATTGTATGAAACAATTTTTTTCAATCCTTATCATGTTCATCCAATAATGTAAAAACGACCATCTTAAAAAACAAGTTCTGTTTTATTTAATCTCATAACAACAATTAAAATTTCTTCAATTTGTGTTTTGTCAAAAATAGATCAGAGAACGCTCAAAAAGTTATCTAGAAGTAAAATGTTAAATGATCGGAGATATACCAAGTTAATTTGGTTTTGGTAGTACAAATTCAAAACGTAATCATTTTAGCTTGTAAAGTTTAATTGGAAATGGAGGTGGCAAAGGGTTTGAAAAACAAATAACATGACACAACTATCATCTTCACAAATTGCTGCATATCAGAATTCAAATCATCATCAACAAGTTGAACAATTCAAATCCATCATTTGTATCAAGATATCCATAAACTAGACAACATTCAGAGTGTTTGGATCAGCGCAAGTGATCAAAGAAACTAGTCTCCACCAACCTGTCGCTTCCAAGAATCCTCCACAATTAACTCATCGACTCCCCAGTCCTCGTAACTGAAAAAACAATAATCACATAAATCAACTCTCTCTCGAGATATATATATATATATATATGAGTAGGTTCACGCAACACAACATTTTTACACTTCACAATAAAATGTTGTGAAGGTTAAAAAAAGCCGAACCTTCACAGGAAAAACACTATGAAAGTTAGCTCACAATTTCCTATCTACATCCCCACTTCTCACATGACTTCTGATGCATATGATGCCTTTATGCCCATACCACCCATCACTCCCACTTACACTGCACCATTGGTGACCACTAGCTTTGATGCCTTACCAGACTGCTAGCCTACCTCYATTCCCTCTCCTGACAGGTCCAATGCGGATAGCAATCGGACCTCTAGTGACTCTGGCCTAGTCCCGATTGAGAGGTTCACAAAGAGGCAAAGGGCTGAGTCTGAAGACTCAGAGTGGACTCCGGAAGAGGACATTCCATTGTCYCAACTACGGAGATCCACAMGCCATCAGGTACCACCTAGCCYGCCCAAAAAGAAAGCACGCACTAGAGCCGCGGACAGCCATAGTGAGAGCTGTCGTAGGCCGAGAAATCTTCAGAAATTTAAGACTTTTTTGGGGCTAGGTGAGAGAGGATTTGATAGGGGTTGTCTGGAGACCTATCCCTTCATACATGACATCATTATCCAAAGAGGATGGGAGGCATTTACTGCGGTTAGAGAGCCCTATTACCTCACCTGGGTTCAGGAATTTTATGCATCGGTTTCTTCCACACGCACTACCTCAGTCCATGTTAGGGGTAGAGTTCTCTTCTCATGAAAACAATTTTGTTTCACATGATCCCAAGTCTCTCTCTCTATATATATATTGGAGAAGTCTTAAAAAAACCCAATGGACTTTAGTGTTTGAAATGATTAAGTCATAAGACAGTTTTGTGGAACAAATAAATCATTGGACATTCCAAAACCTGTTAAATAACTCCTTAAATTTTCTAAAACATGTTAGATACATCCACATCCTTATGACCTATACAAATGGTTAATGTGGTAAAATAATGAAAAAAAACCAATAATCTTTCATATTTTGAATGATCAAGTCCTTAAACATTTTTTGAACAAAAAAAATACTTTCATCTATAAAATAAAACAAATATACCAAAAGAAGACTTACGTTTAAAAAAATTATTGATGAAATTTATTTAAATTAAAAATAAAATATATTCTGTCAGTGATTTTTCAAATTAAAAAAAATAAAAAACTATTTTAAAAAAAGGGAAAAGTACAATAAAAACCAATGAACTTTCTTGTTTGGAATGATTAAGTCCTTGAACTTTTTTTTGGAACAAATAAGTCCTTGGACTTTCCAAAACATGTTAAATAAGTCCTTGAACATTCCAAAAAATGTTAAATAAGTCCTTGGACAATTTTTGGAACAAATAAGTCCTTGAACAATCCAAAACATGTTAAATAACTTTTTGAAAAAAATAAAGTGGTAAAATAGTGAAAAAAATCCCGAAAAAAAACCCAATGAACATTCATATTTTGAACGATTAAGCCCCTAAATATTTTTTCAACCAAAAAGTATTTAGATCTATAAAATTAAACAAATATAACAAAAAAGTACTTACATTTACAAAAAAATAATTACCATTTTAACTAGTTGTACAAGTCATAAGAATGTATCCAACATGTTCTATAAAAGTTCAAGAAGTTATTTAACATGTTTTGGATTGTTCAAGGACTTATTTGTTCCAAAAATTGTCCAAGGACTTATTTAACATTTTTTGGAATGTCYAAGGACTTATTTAACATRTTTTRGAAWGTYCAAGRACTTATTTGTKCCAAAAAAWWGTYCAAKGACTTAWTYATTCCAAACAAGAAAGTTCATTGGTTTTTATTGTACTTTTCCCATAAAAAAACTATTTTAATTCTTTTTTTATTTTTTTAAATTTAAAAAATCATTGACAGAATATATTTTATTTTTAATTAAAATAAATTTCATCAATAATTTTTTGTAAATGTAAGTCTTTTGTTGGTATATTTGTTTCATTTTACAGATGTAAGTACTTTTTCGGTTCAAAAAATGTTTAGAAACTTAATCGTTCCAAATATGAAAGTCCATTGGCTTTTTTCGGACTTTTTCCATTGTTCTACCACAATAACCAGTTTTATAGGTCATACGGATGTATATAACAGGTTTTAAAAAGTCCAAGAAGTTATTTAACAGGTTTTGGAATGTCCAGAGACTAATTTGTTTCAAAAAATTGTCCAATGACTTAATCATTCCAAACACTAAAGTCCATCGGGTTATTTTAGACTTTTCCATATATATATATATATATATATATATATATTAATCAGTCGAAAATAGGATCTAAAAGAAGGGTAGACTACGAATCATTAAAAAACCTAGTGATGAGAAAGATTTTACCTTCCATCAGGCAGGTACCGACGAATGGTGAAGGGGATCTTCCGCTGTCTAAGCTCCTTCATGGCAATCTAACAAATTTAAAGAATTAGCACTTGCTTCATGAGGGTTTTAAGTAAGGAAAATTGCATGAATATGCAATGCCTATTTTGCGGACTGTAATTTTAAAACCTTCATTTTCATAAAAATTGGGGTATCTGACAAATGCATAAAAAAACGTACTTTGACCGATTCCTACCCAACTTAGGCCATGAAAGGTCCATATAAAACAGCACAATAACTCGGTATGCAAGTGCATTATAAAGCAAAGAACTGTCGAAATTAAATCAGCAAACAATTTGGATCAAGTAGAAAGCAAGTAGAAAACATATCACATGTACTCTTATAACCAAATATGATAGTAAAGCAGTAGACGCTAAACTATTACAAGAAAGTTTCATAATCTATCACATTATGCAAGAACTGCTTGTTGCAGGTGTCATCAAGTACAAGTAGCCGAATGGGTGTTAATTTATTCTAACGTATACAGTTATAATAAATGAATATAGTAAATTTAGTTTGATATTCGGCAGCAGTTATAACACAACTGTAGCTGGGGCAGAGCATATATATTGTAGCATAATTCGTTATATACATTTAACATTGAGAACCCATCTCATAAGATGTCCCAGTTCTGCACCACCGTATAATACTCCCTCTGTTCCTAAATAAATGTCCACAATGAAAAAGACACAATTTTAGAAGTATGTAATTACACATAGAGAGAAATGAATTTTCCCATCTCATTATTAAGGGCACGATCGGAAAGTAAGGATTTTGGGGCCGTTTACCCAAATGCTTACCCGGTAAGCGCTTACTAATAGGAGTCAACACTATAATTTATTTAGATGCGTAAGATTTTAGTACATCAAAGCATATCGAATGCAACAATTTAGTAGGTAAGCGCTTACCTGGGTAAGAGTCATCATCCTCACTTACCGGGTAAAACTCTCCATCCTTCTCATCGCTCTTACCTGGTAAGATTCTTGGCCCTTCTCATGTTCATCCGATGAGAAAATTTATGCGTTAAGCACTTATCAAGTAAGTGTTTAGTAAACGGCCCCTTACTTTTGAAAGTGTACGCTTATTTTAGGGAAAACTAAAATAGGGATGTGGACAATTATTGTGGGACAAAGAAAAAATGGTCAAGCATAGTCAAAAGGTGTTGTAAATATTACTCCCTCTGTCCAAAATTTAGTGTCCATGTCTATTTTAATTATTTACTTTCCCATTATACCCTAATTAAGGGTAAAATTGTCCCCAATTTAATTAAGAAGTGCAATAATCACACATTCCCAAAACTGTGTGCTATGTTTTGGGATGGAGGGAGTAATAATTTAATTGGTTCCTAAATTTACTATCAACCGCATCTTTAACTGATTTCATAACCGCCTCTAAATTTAAAAATAAACAAAATCAAGGGTTGAGATTAGGTTTATAGGGTTTGTAACAATTACATGGTTTGTATTTGAAACTGCCTATATATATATATATATATGTGTGTATACTTGGTTTTAAAAAGAGCGATGCGGTCCGATGCGTTAAGGGTCCCGGAAGCCGATGCGTGATGCGTGATGCTGATGCGCTCGCATCACGCACGTGATGCGCCCGGTATTCAAAAAATATTTATAAATTAATTCTACATATCAATTTCTACCTTAAAAATACTTACCTATCAAAATACTTCATTTATAACATAAAGTAGTTAAAAAAGTGGCATTAGAATCTTAAAAAGTTCGTGAATCAGAATAACAGAAGTACATAACACACAAACTACTACCATGAAGAACACAATTATGGTCTAAAAGTCAAAGACCTTCCAGCCTAGTGGTAAAGGCTTGGGCATGGCATAGTCATGAACCCGAGTTCGAACCCTGGGAGGGGAGTGTTGGCGACATTTAAGTGGGGCCATGTTTAGCCTCCAAATTTGCCGGGGATTAGTCGGGTTTTGGCCCGGACACCCTTACAAAAAAAAAAAAGAGAACACAATTACACAAGTATATGTCTAATAGTCCTAATCCCTAAACTAAATGACCAACCAAGTGACCAACTAATACTCCCCAAGATCAGCATCATCAAACCCCAACACGGGTTCTCCAACCCCAGGTTCTATTTTACATAACTAAGAATCCCAACTAAAAAAAGCCCAACTAAAAAGCCCAAGTAAACACTAAAAAAGGGAGCCCAAAACGCAACATACATGATGCGCTGATGCCTAAGTGATGCACGCATCGTGTGATGCGTAGGTGATGCGTTCGCATCATGGAATCGCATCGCATCATGGAATCGCATCGCATCAGCCTCTTTGATGCGTTCTGTCCAGCGCATCAGAGCGCATCACGCATCAGAGCGCATAATGCTCGCATTTTTAAACCAAGTGTGTATATATATTGATAAGATGTGCATCTCATTTCTGAGGCCCGGGACCCCTTTGCGCCTTGAGCTTAACAACTTTGCTACCAAGAGTAGTAGAGCACCTTCGGATTCATGCCTCTATAAATAAGTAAATTTCTATAACTTAAAAACTTCTGCAACCACACACAGACTAACATAAACAGCATATACAGTAGGTTAACAGCCATGATAGATTAAGCAGATATATAGAACCCTACCAGAAGATTAATCAGATGTTGCAAAAACACGAATCCATGATTGATGCCAGTGAAATAGCAACATGTGTTTAACGATGCCATATCAGTTAATAATGTCAAAAGTAACATACTTGCAAGCACTAGCCATATATAAACAAACAAACAAGCCCAATAAATCCAGTGCAGAGGTAGGGTCTTGGGGTAGGATGTACACAGATCTTTCCTGTATCCCAAGGGGTAGATAGGCTGTTTCTGTTAGACCCCCCCGGCTTGTAAAACCAAAAAATTATAAGAAAGAGCAAGCTACATGTGAGAGTGTGCAATCAACGGTTATAATAAACAATAAAGTTAGCAAGAAGCCAGGAACAGATGTGAGGAAAATATGTTATAACAAAGAAAAACAGAGCGCAATACTGACAAGTAATAGTACATAAAGAAAGCTAAGGGTACTGTTCAGTAGAAAGGTCACCCTAATAGATACAATGATGAAAATAATAAGTAGAAAGGTCAAGAACTGGCCATATATGTCTCTATTTATATTTTCGATACACAGCAAATTATGGTAATACAAGAATTTACAAATTTTAAACCCTATCGACTCATTTTGAGAACTATTGCCGGTTGTTCATTTAAAACATAATGATCTTAAGGTCGATTAGCACACAAAATCCAGCTCACATCTTGATATTCAGGTTCCCTTGCCCTAATAATCTCGCATGTGATGGATGTAATCAACTATCCAATATAGAAAAGAGTATATGAAAGAAAACAAATATGTACTACATGTCTCCATCCACAAACATGACACATAGTTTGACAAAGCATTCAACCAACAATCGAATACCTAAAATTCTCATTAATAAAACGAAATTAAGAAACCTTGAGAATCACAAATTCCACAATCAATCTCACCGGTATGGCCCTAATATAATAGGCAATTATGGAAAGGAATCATTTGAAGAAAAAGTTGAACTGTTTTCAGGGGGAACCCATAAGAGAAAGTGTTAGCATTTTTTGTTTGGGGATGGATCAAATGTTTCACATGCTACACGTCAAAAGGAAGTATTCAAATGAGCATGAAGAATCATTACCTCAAGGGGGTCAGTTTCACCCTCCAACTCAACCATCACTGGAGCATTCATGCTGCACATACATATTAAGCAGGAAAATCTTTATGTGTCAAAAATTATCTCAACATAACTAGAACTAATAAAGGCATTCTTCCCCAACAGCCAAACCATGATTAATTAAAGAAGAAAATACAAGTAAACGAATCAAAGTTTAATAAATTATCAAAAATTAAAAGAACAAAAACAAACCTAATTTGCAGGGCACGAGTACCCAGAATTCTAGCCCTTTCATATTTGGTCATATATTTTATAGTCTTCCTAGGTTTTTCTACAGCTTCCGGTTCTTCCTTATCTTCATTATCACCTACAAGTGGATCTGGAACATCTTCTTCCTTGTTATCTGCATCAATATCTTCCTCAGCCCCTTCCTGAATTATTGACGAAACTCAGCACATAAACCATTCAAATTTGTACGTATACAGAACTATTCATATAAATACAGAAACAATTTTCTTACATCGAGTTCGGGCTCGACTGGCTCGTCGTCGTATCTATAAAACGAAAAAATTGAAATATTGTTTGAGATATCATATACGAAAGAAGAATAATGAATAGGAGATGGTTATATAGCAAAGACTTACCCTCCGGCGTCCATATCAAAGTCATCATCGGCCATTTTAAGAGAGAAAAGCTGATGAAAAACCCTAGTCTGTCTTTTGATGGGGAGACGGAAGTAGAAGACGAAGGCTTTTGAGAGAAAGTAGGGTATAAAGACCAACAATTAAGCCGTGGGGTCCCAATAACAATGCGCCACGTCACCGGTTTTTTATTGTTATTAAGTTTGAGAATTTCGTTTTGTTTTTATTTTATTTACTACATTCTATGCTTCTTCTATGTGGTTAGCTGTTTTTAGTGTTTCTATTTTATTTTTTTAAAATCCAATTGAATTTGTTCTTCTAGTTGCATTTTTCATGGTCGTATTTCTTTAATTAATAGAGTCTTGGTTGTAGTTTTTTTTAATAATTTTGGTCCTTAAATAAATTAATAACTTGAATCCATATGGTTACATTAAGGACCTAGCTTATCGTAAAATTGTAACGTTAAATTTTAGAACAAGAAACAAACCCGTCAAAAAAATATAACCACAACCACAAAACATGTAATTTACTCTATTTTATAGGGCTATTTTTAATTTTTACCAAGTTATATTAAATATCAGTAACAACGTTTGACTTTAAAGCTAGTTCTTTCTTATCGGCAAATAGTGCCTTTAGTGTAGGATCGACACTCCGGGATGCAGATTGACACCCATCGTATAATTGAGAACTGCTATGTTATTGTATGGTATATTCTTATCATGTTTCATCATTCATATTTATCTATCGGTAGTCTGGAACCATGGATTCATTGTCTGTTTTGTAGAAGCTCCTCGTAAAGGAGAATAATGACTCATTTGAATTAGTTATTCCTCTTATAATAGTTGAAGTGCTTTCACCTGTCTAAATGCTTTCTGTAGCTCATTTAATCGAATTTAGAGTAACTTGTGAATGAACAAATTCAAGAATCAATAAAAAAGTAAACTGTATTTTCTAGTTTTTGAAACCTGCTTCAAAAGCTCAATTGGATTGTTTATGATAAAACATCCTAAATAAAAAAAAATTAAAGAAGTTCAAGATTTTTTCCTACAAGGTTACATTATTTTATTCACAAAGATATAGTAATAAGTTTCTCAAATTGTGTTAAATACATATTACATTTCTTTAAATACATACAAAAAAACAAGGGTTTTTGGTTGTTTTTCATTAACTACATATGGATTAAATTGTTGCATATTTAATTATTCATTGGACTGAATAAAACCATCTTAATAACATGTTAACTTTTACATCCCGCTGATTTTCTTAATTCAAACTCATGCCTTTGTTCCCATTTTACATTTTACATTATAAAGAAACATATAAAGTTTATCACCAACTTATAGAACATATGATTGACAACCTTTGCAACCAATTGATCGACAATATGTATATGATCGTAAAACTTTGCACCATTCCTATTACATTAGAAAGAACCCTAAGGTCCTTTGGTTATAGGAATACTAGATGTTGTAAGCAAATGTTAGCTTGCATGAAAATTTTACTTCAGTGAGGCGTCAAACAAGAGGAATTCGAAGAATCCAAAGCTACAATGAACCGATAAAACAATAACAGCTAATACAATACGAACAAACAAATGCACCAAACAGATTACAAGGTGAAGCTTACCATAATTAAAGGTGTGTGAGAGATATTAAAGATGGTAAAAAGGTTTAGGTTTGTGATCTTGTGACATGATTTTCACCTTGAAGATTCAAAGAACCCCAATCAAGTAATTGCTTAACATATGAACTTGGTCACAGATCAAAAAGAACGAAACTCTAAGGGCTGATGATGAGGCACAGGGTGGTGGTGACGACATGAGCTTTTCAAGGTGTATCATTTCAAGGGGCATGTTGTTCTAAGAAGGGTGTTGGGTCACCTATTGATTTGGTGATGACCCACTGATCGGTTCCTCTACATTAGCAACACTTAGTAGTTATTGGTTCTTTGTATATTGGTGTCTTGGTACATACTTAAGCCATTGGCAAAATCGAAGACTAGCCGATGTGAAGACAGAAGGTCACCGATGCGGTGTTGTGGATCAACTGTCTAATATATATACCAAGACTCCAAAGTAGCTGAAATGAATATTGAAAATATTTTGATGCTACAAGCCGATTGAAGGAAGATCTTCATAGACCGAAGATTGAAAATCTTCATGGACTCAAGATTAAAGATCATGGACCGAAGATTGAAAATCTTCATGAACTCAAGATTGAAGATCATGGACCGAAAATTGAAAATCTTCATGAACTCAAGATTGAAGATCATGGACCGAAGAATGAAAATCTTCATGAACTCAAGATTGAAGATCATGGACCGAAGATTGAAAATCTTCGTGGACCGAAGATTTGTGAGGAGCTGCTTGAAGCTACATATCCATCCAAAGGAGATCTTCCTACAGACTGACCATATCTCTGCAAAGTTTGTCTCTGCATGAACAATGTTGTATGCATGCTGTGTACGATAAAAATGAGATATCAACATTGGTCAAGTCAACCCCTGCCTTCTTATCCTCAAGTGACAAATGTCTCCATGCATTAAATGCTGAAGGTAGTATAAAAAGGCAGTGTGCATCTCCCATGCACACAACTGGCTTTAGCAAGATTACTTAGTGCATTCTCAAAGCAATCGGCTATTCTCTTGTACTCCCTTGATCTTCTGTGTGTGAAGAAATTCTCAGTGTTCTTCATTTCCTTTCAAAAACTCTCTGTGTTGTTCTTGAAAGTTCTTCTCTTTGTAAGATTGTTTAGGTTAGGTTTTCCTTTCCTATCTTCCGCAACAATCTTGTGTATTTCTGTGTGTATTAATTCTTGATTTAAATCAATAAGAATTAAAAAGTTAAAAAAAGTCTGTGTAATTGTATTCAACCCCCCTTCTACAATTACTTTCTGTTTATTGCCATTCCCTTCGGGACTAACAAAGGGTATGGATGGAAAAAGTAAGGTGGAATGGCTTAAGCTCTCTTTAAATGACTGATTGAATATGTGAATTTTTGAATATATAAATAATAAACAAACAATCATGTATGAGTTAGTGAATAAGCCATATATACTATTGTTAGGTTTTATATTTTGTTTGTAATAGAGTAGAAGGGCCAAAAATATAAATACCTTCAAGATGTATATATATAGGGCCAAGATCAAATGTTAACTATCATTTTTGTGTTAACTTTGTTAACGGATCTTGGCCATCCAATTTTAAAATGAACGGTCAAGATTAATAGTGATAAAAACTTAATTTTTAATTTTTAAAGTTTAATAAATCCAAGTGAACAATGATGAAAGGCGCTTTTTGGGAAGAAATAATTAACTTTTCAAACGCGGCATATATCAAATCATCAGTTACGTATCACTCCTCCCAAAAACCGTCGCTCATCACTATACTGTTTGCTGATCATAGGGCTTGAAATCTGGTTCAACATCTTCATAAAAAATGGTTGATTTGGGAGGATTTCCCGTCGATTACAACCCATTACGAGGTATGTTAGCAAAATTTAGGGTTTTTATTATCCTTTGATGAATAAAAGCATTCGATAACTTATGATTTCTAACTTCAGTTAGGAAGAAAAGTGAACGAATCATGAAGAGGACTTATTTCTCAAACTTCAAAAACACCATCAACACCCCTGTTGATGTCGATGCAGAGCTTGAAGTGAAGAAAACGGCTGATGTAGAAAGTATAGAACAAGCCGTAAGATAAGGGAAGTGCTTGGAAATCGTAGCTACCCAAGGAACCACAGGTAAACTACCGCAATTTGATGATTAATGTACATTGTTATTGTTGGGTTATTGTTTAAAGATTTGATGAATCGATTTTCTAAAGAGGTTCAAGTCGGTTCATGATTGATTTTCAGTTTTTAGGGTGCGGTTTATTATGCCTTTTTACATATAGCATGTTAAGCAACATATGTGTTCATATTTTGGTCCAAATGCACAAACATGCATACCCAGTTTCGTATTCGAGACAAGGTTTCATACATGTGAATTTTTGTTGATATTTGTAACAACGGTTCATATCAGTTTGGGGGGTGTTCATGTTGGTGTACATCTGTTCATCTACGTCAATATGTGCTCATACGGTCAAATATTTTCATCATCTTAACATTTTCATATGTTTCACACTATGTTCATGTACATACCACTTGTACGTGTGTGTCAATTTATGTTATTAAGTTACACAAGGGTTCATATAACACGAGATGTGTTTGTAAGGTTGTTCGAAGGTTCATATTGCTGAATTTTTGTTCATATCGTGTTCACTTTAATCACATATAAGTTGTATTAGTGATGTAATATTGTGCTAAGTAATACACATATGAGATGAATGATGCATTCATTTATGTGTACATTTCTTTAATATTACATTCATAATCCGTTTGATTATATATATATATATATATATTATGTCAGACTCAATATGTGTTCATATTTGGGTCAAAATGCACATATAGGACAAAACTCGGTTTCGTATTCGAGACAAGGGTGCATACATGTTACATTATATTGGTAATTGTAACAACTGTTAATGTCGTTTTGCGGGTTGTTAATATGGGTGTATATGTGTTTATCTTCGTCAATATTTGTTCATCTTGGTGGACATATGTTCACAAGCTGTGTCAATGTGTGTTCATATAACACAAGATGTGTTTGTAAGGTTGTCCGAAGGTTTACATTGTTGAATTTATGTTCATATAGTGTTCACGATTGTTAATCACATATAAGTTGTATTAGTGATGTAATATTGTGCTAAGTAATACACAGATGAATTGTAACTGTTGTATAGGGTTTAATTTGTAACACTAGCTAAATGATGCATTCATTTATGTGTACATTTCTTTGATATTACATTCATAATCCATTTGATAGAGTAGCATAGAAGTCCATAACGTGTCTTCCTACTCAGAGCATCTGCCACTACATTGG